CAATTTAAGATGGGACATTCATTTAGCATTAAAGAGATTTTAAGTCAAAATTTACCAATAAGGGATAGCTTATTTTTATTTTAAATGAAACATTAAGTGATAACTTAGATTTGTACTAAAGTTAGAGCATCCTAAATTCACATATATTATCAGCATGGGTGTTTTTGAATTTTGTTTAAACTTATTGAGAAGTATCCCAAGCCAGAACCCTAAAACAGGAAAATGAGACATTTAAGGCATTGGTTGTTAAAATTGTGAACAAACCCTTGATAGATTGATTACCTAATGGCAAGTATGACAAGTGTGACAACAGATTTAGGAATAGCATTACCACCTCAGTAAAAAATAAACATGAACCTTACTAATTATTAATTTCATTGGATTTAATATTAGTGGATTAAAGTCTTGTGTAATAATCTATTCAATACATTTCAGAAGTATTTTGAATTTCTTATCCTTTAGTTTATCTCACTGCCACACTTATTCCCTACTTTATTTTTTTTCCTGCCACCACCTCACAAACTAAGTCCTCAGGCTCTCTTTTGCTTGAACTGTTTTCCGTGTCTTCAAAGTTTATTTTACCCTTCAAATTATTTTCTATGGTACTATGAGACAAAGCTTTGTAAACTAGAGTTCTTCTTTTGCTTCTCTTTTGATGAGTCCTAATTTTCCATGGAAATAATTCAAACTCTTTAGTATGGTATGTAGTAAGTCTTCTACTTAATTTTCCAGCCTTCTCCCCAACTACTGCAAAATCTATACAATTTCTGTATCTAATGTAATCTTTTTCATGTACCATGAAATCTCCTTCACCTATGATTTTCTATCTTGCCCTTGTCTCATTCTGGATTTTTGCCTGAAATCCTACTGCTCCTCCAAATCAAAGTACAGATTCTATGCGCAGTCCTTCCATTAATCCCAAATCCTTAGAGCTTCCAAAGCACTTTGGTCATGCTCATATTACAGCATTGATCATGTGCTGTCTCACATGTTAATTAAGAAGGTCATAGGTCTTATTAACTCCTCTGCTCCCTGGCTGAGGTTCATGCATGACACCCCCTTAAATGTAAGATACCACACAATCAGCACAATATTTTTTGCATTAGATTGAAGGTTGAATATAGATGTCAAAAAGAGAGGACCACTATCATTGTTTATGAAGGTCTTGAAAGAAAATTACTTTCGTGTAATCATAAGGGAATTTGTTGTAAATTTACTACTCTTCACTTTTTCAAAGAACATTCATTTTGAGTATTTCAAATCCCAGAACTAGTTCTGTATTGAGAATTCAAACATAGTTCATACCCAGTCCCTGCCTTCTAAAAACTCAAGACCAGGGCACTTCCCTGGTGGTCCAGTGGTTATGACTCCATGCTTCCAATGCAGGGGGTGTGGGTTCGACCCCTGGTCGGGGAACTAAGATCCCACATGCCGCGCAGCATGGCCAAAATAAATCAATAAATTTAAATAAATAAAAGCTCAAGACCTAACAAAGAAGCCAGTCACACAAGTACAATTAACTATTGTTATAATAACAATGCTATAAGTATCCCAGAAATGATTGAACAAGATGCCCTAAAAGCACAAAGCAATTAATTCTTGAAGAAAGGAGGTAGTAACAGGTTGTGGACCACCTAAGGATCTCTGATGTGGACCTCGAAAGAGAAACAGCTACTGGACAAATGATGGAGAATCCACACTTGGAAGAGGCATGTAGGTGGTACATTCCTACATTCCTTCCATTTTGTCTTTTCTAGGCCTCCCTTCTTTAAAGTTTTAGGGACTTTTAAAAATAACCTCTATTTAAAAGGAGAAGTCACAAGCATGAAAATTCTTGCCACCTCAATATTCACTGGAACAGTTATGGAACAAATTGGTTGCAAATCAAATTAGCAAATCATAAAACATCTTGGCAATCATTATTTTTTTAATTCAGTGTTTTCACATTTTCTAAGTCATTTCCCTTTCCTCAAATTAAGTTTTGCTAAGGTCTATATGCAGTTGAGGAAAAAAAGTGCTGGTGTTTGTCCTGAGTTCCACCAGCTAGTCTTCCCTCCCCCATCAAGACTTGCTGATTTCTCACAGACCTAGGAATTTAGAGGCATGGTTTGAAAATTGCTGCTTCTAGACCAGCCACTTCCCTTATAATTGAGGAAACAGAGATCTAAAGAACATGAAGCACCTTGTACAAGTTCATAGCAGCAGTTAGTGGCAGAATAGCATATAGAAGTCCCTTAACTGCCACTCCACTGCTCTTTCAAGATAAAATTAGTTCTATTTACATAGCAAAATGAGCATGAGGTCCAACAGCCTCCCAAAGTGACATTTAGGACAGAGAGAGACTCTTTTTCATGATAAGACAAGACTTCATTGGAATTCAGTACGTCGGTGTTAAGTAATTCAGAATCAATGCTAAGTCTTTTATTTTATTCTATCTTTCCTCCATTTTGATATTGAATTATGAGAAATGACAGCTCCCAGGCCCTCTAACTTCTTGATCCTAGACAAGGGAGATGGTTAAAGAAATTCATCTTAGTGATGGCACTGACTAGTCAGGCACTTTCCTGCTGTAGAAATCAAAGTTTCATGTATTATCTCCCCTAGTTTAAAAAGGCAAGAAAATACAAAGACCAAATGATTTTCTTTTCATCACATAGATTGTGAGGAAGGAGAACAAAATGTCTAGATTCCTTGACTAGTCCAGCATGTTATGTTTTACTTTAGAGATTAAGTGATTTTTATGCATATATACATACTTTGTTATATATATTTTGTGTGTATATATATAAACATACACATATATGAAGAAGGACTTAATCAAAATAATAAAATATATATGTGTTGTAAATTATCCTCCTTGTCCAGAAAGGTTAGTAAAACTTTGACCTAATGGAACTAAAATAATGTTGGAACTATATAAAGGAACTAAATAGATGGACCTACAATAAAAGAAACATATGTGTTTTTCTGTGTAGACCCCTGCTGATGGGAATCATTAAATAAAATATTATAGCTAAACAATTTAAAAGAAATGTGGATAATTTAAATAGCCTCATAATAAAACATGACAAACATTTGCTGAAAGGAGTAATGGAGATACTTGTTTGTTAAGACAAATGAGTTAATAACTTTTGAGGGAAATTTTTAGCTATAGAACCAAAATAACAAGGTATTGTTTACAAATACAATGCTAAGCTTGAGCTGAATCGAAACTGACAAATGATGATTTGCAGACTTCACATGAAGTCCTTAAAAATTACCAAGGCCATTGCTTTTGGAAGTTATGGATACTGTTGATTATTAATGGCACAGAAGTCATCTTACCTTCTTCCTAACAGAGCAGGGAATTGGAGACAATGCAAAATTCTCCCTTTCTAATTATACCACATCTGGATTTCACCTCTACAGTCTAGATGTCTGCCTGAAAGCATGGCCCAGCAAGAAGATGTAGATTCATTTTCTAAACAGACCACAATCCCCCAGCCTCTTCCAAAATTAGTGCTATTGTGTGCCACGATTTTCACATGATGTCACTAACTTCATCAATCATCCTGGAAAGCAGACAGAACACAATAAAGAGGCCGGCAGAGGGGGGTATCTTGAAGAAATACTTCATAACTTACAGATAGTAACCCCAATAGAAACTTCAGAGAAAAATTCATTGGAAACATTTCTGCTTTAAGACAGGCCCTAAACAATTCTTTAATTTGTAAGTCCTACCATTTTAAATATTTCTCCATATACATGCACATGCGTGCATGCACACACACACATACACACACCCCAAAAAGCCACTGGTATAAAAGAACCAATAATAAATTAGTAACTAGTTATTTGCTGAACAAAATAAAAACACCTTTATTTAAATTACAGGGTTGCCTATATTTTACATCTCAAATTATTTCAAAATATTCTTCCAAATTGTTCTCATACGTTGAATTCATCTGCTTCCTTCTAAGTAGAAAAACATTCGTTAAAACTATATGGTCTCCAATGGAAATGATTTTATCATGAAAAGTTTTAAGTTAAGCCATTCTCTAGTCATGTATGCTGCTAGATGATAATCTTTATTTTAGAGACCAACTCTATAGGAATTGTTGTATATTGAATTCTGTTTATTAGAGCAAGGGGACTTCAGGCATAGTCTGAAACCCTGTCCCGGAAAAGGAAACTCTGTCTTGGTGGGGTGGGGGCGGGGAGTAAGATGTCCAACCACTTTCTGCGTGGCTGGTCTCCAAGTGCATGATGAAGTGGAAAAATATAACATACAAAAGGGATATTTATGTATCTTCCTTCTTCATCAGATACACAGTATTTTTTCTCCCATGTCACGAAAATTGTAACTGCAATTTACTAGTATATGCACAAATTGCTACTGATTTAGCGATGCATTTCTTTGATGTTCCTTGCCTTAACCTCATTTATAAAGCTGTTTTGCATTATTTCAAACTGTCAATGATTTGTGACTCATGAATATTCAAATCTAATTTGCACTTACCTTTTTGGTATGCATGCCTACTTGCAATATGTCTCTACATTTGCCCTTTTGTTTTTATCTGTGGATTGTTTTATTAAAATAATACTCCTTTAAAAGTATAGTAAGTCTGTTTAAAAACAACAGGAGTGGTTGATGATTGACTCTTCTTGGTCTCAGTACACTATCTCTATATTTTGCTACTTAGCAAGTTTAGTCATTCTGCAAAGGTGTCTCTAGTATTAAAACAGCCATACTTTTGCTGGTCGATGTCAATTTCAGTGAGTTGTGTTTAGCTTTGCTTGGCTGTGTGTCTCTAGTAAAGAATCAACTATTTTTAGATGAACTTGAGCCTTACAAAGAAAGAAAGAAAAAGAAAGAAGGAAGGAAGGAAAGAAGGAAGGAAGGAAGGAAGGAAAGAAGGAAGGAAGGAAGGAAAAAAGAAAGGATGATTTCTGGTAGAAAAGCAAAAAGTTCATGCAGAATTGAGCCCTTCATGTCAGTGTGGATCAACTTTTCCACTTACCTTGTGGAATGCAAGAAATGAAACCTAATGCTCTCAAACACGAAAAAAAACCCTTTTAGATGTCTTTCAGATGATGATAGCTAAAAGAGACACCTAGGACTTTGTGGATTGCTGGCATGTCACTAGTGATTGAAGGTCCAAAACAGCAGAGCAGGGAGCCACCTGCCTATGGAATGGGCAGTTTCTTCTTGAAAAACCTGTTCAGGGACAAATGGAAAGTGTCATATGAAAAAAAAAAAAAAAAAAAGGAGTGAAGAACATTTCTTTTGTAATTGATTTCTGGACTCAATTGTGATTTCTGAGAACATCCAAACAATGAAATGCCCTACTTTGCCAAAAAAGAAAAACATTTTCAAATATTTATTTTTTCATGCCAATAGCTAAAATAGAGAGAAGTTAATAATATTGACAATGCAATAGTTGGTGTTTCCTTAATTTGCGTCATGTTCAATTTCTTAACCACCTACAAAGCTACAAAGAAATTGTTGATCTCCTATTGCCTTCCGTCATGCAATAACGTTGTCCCCACATTCACGAAATGATGCTGCATAAAGTATGGCTGCGGGTCTTGGGCCAGCCTATCGGGCAAACAACATATTTTTCTTTTTACAAATTTCTCATTGTCCCTCAATTGTACATAGTCCCTCAAGAAATAGGATCTCCTTCCAAAAGCCACTAAATTTCTAACTAATCTCTTTTGTAGTCATTTTTTCACGTAGAAAACCAATTTTTTAATTACTGGGGAAATGTTTTGCTGCCATGATATTTTATTGTTTGTGTGTGTTTAAACAAATGTCCTTTATTTTTAAAAAGTTATAATTTTCCCAACTTTATAATTTTCTTTATGATAGTGATATCATTATTTCCTTCATTTTGAAAACCAAACATCACAGATTCGCTGGAACCCACAACAGACTACCCAAAGTGACCCCTCAACAGTATGCTATTGTTGTTGATACATCTAAAAGGTTTATTACATCCTGATCTCTGACTCATGATCAGAGAACTCTGTTCTGGAAGATAGAAAACTGTTAGGAACAAGGGTTCTCGTATTATGTTCCTCGATTCTACTACTAACTAACTGTGTAAATTAGAGTTGCCTAATCTCTGAGAGACTTTATATTCTCATCTAGGATGGGGAGAATAATAGTGTCTACCTTAGATTGTTGTGAGAATTAAATGAGAGTATTCAGATACAATGCTCACCACACTGGCTAGCCCCTGGTCAGTGCTAAATATGGAACAGCTCTTCCGAAAGCCCAATGTTTGCCAGAAGTCGTACCTAGTTTCTGGTCAACTCTATTTTAAACTGAGAAAAAGTTGTCTTCCCAGAATCTAACCCTCTCCCTCCCACCCCACCCCCATTTTGTACCAGTAACACAGCTAAAGTGTTTGCTCCTACCTTCAGGACTGGGTCCTCCTCTAACCAGTAGTTGTTTCAAGACACCTGGTTAAGTCTTCTGCAAAGATGTACGGATGAGACGTGAGGGGAAGTTTGCTGGGGCCTTCTCAAATTTTTTGCACCCATCTTCCCACAACAATATCCAAAGAAAGAGAAACAGGCTCTCTTCCTCTGGGTTGTTGGGGGAAGATACGAGGCTCAGAACTGCTGAGGTCATCTGGCTCTCAGCCTGAGGATAAATTTGATGCCCATAAGAGGGCAGAGCCAAGAGAACTGAAAGGAAAGAGAGACGGTGCCTGCTTCACTTCTTGCCAGTGACATAGCTTTATTCCCTTATTGCTCAAGCCAGTCTGAATTGGGTTTTCTGTTACTTGCAGCCAAAAACATTCTGATTCAGAGAGGCAGCCAAAAAACAATGTATTTTACATATTAGCTCATAGCATGACACTCATTCACAGAGCAGGGCAGTCCAGTGCTTGGAGTTTACATGAGTGTATAAACATCTTATAATCCCTCCTGCCTTTTCTAAGTCAATGTCCAAGCCACATCTCCACAACGTTTTTTTCTGTTTTGTGAAACAAGACAAAAGATTAAAAGTGAATCCTCCAAGATTTCTCCAGTCTCCTGAATATCCAGCAGAACCCACAAAGTGCTCTTTTTGCTTTTGTAAGAATAGAATTCAAGGCAAGTGTGCCACCTCTGGCTTGCTGCTGTAAACTCATCTCAGAGCCACAGCTTGCAGAATTTTAGTGCTTAAAAATGTTCTCAATCTTACATTCTTTGCCTTCTAGGAAACCACAACCCAAAGTAGAACGGCACCACATGCATCTAATTCAGCGGCATGAAACCTAAGTGAAAACTATTTTATGATTTGTTACATGGTTTTATATTCCTAATTCTAGCTGACCAATTTAACCTGCCATATACAACCTCAAAATAAGATAATCTTTAAGCCTTATTTGGCATCTATATCAGAAGGGTAAATCTAGTTTGCTTGAGTTCCAAGAAACCAAGATAGTGATTTATATGATCAAAATGGGTGATTCCCAACTAAAATGTAAACAATAAACTTTTTATGGTACCAAATCAGTTCAGTCTTTCTCTCCCCTCCTTCCCACCCCATCTGCCCCAAGCTATCCATGATTTAATCTTATCAGGAGCTCTCAGGATTATACTTCCAGTACCCCTTTGAATAGGCAGTGAGAGGAGAGACCAGGTAATTCTCTATTGCCCTAGATTATGTAGAACACAGATCTGGAGACATCCTTAGATATTATCTAAAGGGCCAGCCACAGATAATGCCAGAGACGTGCTGAGGGTCACAGTGCTGGGAGCAAATCCTTTAACTCTTGGGCCAGCATCACTTCCACCATATACCACTATGCCTTTCATATAAAGTGGCCCTTAAAAGATGTATGAATGAATATATTACTCATTTTAATCTGTGGGGTGGCTCTCTGTTGCTTAATATATCTCCATGAGACTCTAAGTACATCATATCTCAGCTTTATGGTTATTTAAAAACACTATGTTTTGTATTTTAAGATACAGAAAGTCAAGTCACTGCCTTTTCTTGCTCTAGATTTCTTTATAGCATGTAAGAAAATGTCCTTTCTTGTGCTTCCGAAAACTAGAATAGAATAATTAAAGATACGTTTTAAAATGTGGTTTTCTTATTGGTCCTCCTATGCTGGAACTTGATCAGCAGGTGGTGGTGGCCATTGTGACTGTGTTCTGGCCACTAGTCACACAGAGGGAGTTTCCAGCCCCTGAATGAGAAGCTCCTTTTGTCCATCTGACAAATATCAATCCAAGAAACCAACAATGGAGATAACTTGGCTAATTACAAACATGAAGTTTTAATAGAAGATTTTCAAAAATCTAGATTAGGAATGCACCAGTAAATTAATTCAGGTTCTTACCTTAATTTGTCGTGGTACCTTAAAAATTATTTTTCAATGTCTCCATTTTCCTAGCTCTAAAGTGAAAATAGTTATATTGGTCATATATTTCCAAATACTGCTTTGAGAACTAACAAAACCATAAAACACATACTTTCATAGGTTCACATTTTGTTGATCTTACATGAATATGTGAAGTTCATAAATCATTGTGACAAAATAATTACCCACACACAGAGGAAGAAAACTGGTATTTAGAAATCAAGTGATTCAGAAAGAAATCAAAGATGACACAAACAGTTGGAGAGATATACCATGTTCTTGGATTGGAAGAATCAATATTGTGAAAATGACTATACTACCCAAAACCATCTACAGATTTAATGCAATCCCTATCAAATTACCAATGGCATTTTTTACAGAACTAGAACAAAAAATCTTAAAATTTGTATGGAGACACAAAAGACCCCAAATAGCCAAAGCAATCTTGAGGGAAAGAAACGGAGCTGGAGGAATCAGACTCGCTGACTTCAGACTATAGCACAAAGCTACAGTAATCAAGACAATATGGCACTGGCACAAAAACAGAAATATAGATCAATGCAACAGGATAGAAAGCCCAGAGATAAACCCACGCACCTATGGTCAACTAATCTATGACAAAGGAGGCAAGGATACACAATGGAGAAAAGACAGTCTCTTCAATAAGTGATGCTGGGAAAACTGGACAGCTACATGTAAAAGAATGAAATTAGAACACTCCCTAACACCATACACAAAAATAAACTCAAAATGGATTTGAAACCTAAATGTAAGACCGGATACTATAAAACTCTTAGAGGAAAACATAGGAAGAACACTCTTTGACATAAATCACAACAAGGTCTTTTTTGACCCACCTCCTAGACTAATAGAAATAAAAATAAACAAATGGGATCTAATGAAACTTAAAAGCTTTTGCACAGCACAAGGAACTATAAACAAGATGAAAAGACGACCCTCAGAATGGGAGAAAATATTTGCAAATGAATCAACGGACAAAGGATTAATCTCCAAAATATATAAACAACTCATGCAGCTCAATATCACAAAAAAACAAACAACCCAATCAAAAAATGGGCAGAAGACCTAAACAGACATTTCTTCAAAGAAGACATACACATGGACATGAGGCACATGAAAAGCAGCTCAACATCACTAATCATTAGAGAAATGCCAATCAAAGCTACAATGAGGTATCACCTCACACCAGTTAGAATGGGCATCATCAGAAAATCTACAAACAACAAATGCTGGAGAGGTTATGGAGAAAAGGGAACCCTCTTGCACTTTTGGTGGGAATGTAAATTGATACAGCCACTATGGAGAACAGTATGGAGGTTCCTTAAAAAACTAAATATAAAACTACCATACGACCCAGTAATCTCACTACTGAGCATATACCCTGAGAAAACCATAATTCAAAAAGTCCTGTACCACAATGTTCTTTGCAGCTCTATTTACAACAGCCAGGACATGGACGCAACCTAAGTGTCCATCGACAGATGAATGGATCATCAAAAAATCTAGAAAAAATAAATGTTGGAGAGGGTGTGGAGAAAAGGGAACACTCTTGCACTGCTGATGGGAATGTAAATTGATACAGCCACTATGGAGAACAGTATGGAGGTTCCTTAAAGAACTAAAAATAGAATTACCATATGACCCAGCAATCCCACTACTGGGC